AAGGAAATTGCTGCAGATTTATTCTTGGGTTTGGCCTCAGTCAGTAAGGCTAAATGAAAACTATAAGGAAGTAAATGGTATGTATTATCTTATGATGTATATACATATGTTCTAGCTTATCAGAAAATGTAAAACTTTCTTTGCAAAGTTTCCCTTGACCATATGATACCATTATTTTAGAAGAGTTTAACAGAGACCTGCATACAAAAATAGGAGCATTAAAGGTCTATAAAGGTCTTTAATTATTTACTTCTATATAAGAAGTAAATAATTAAAAAATGTAAACAATATTTATTGACTACTTAGGAATTACATACTTGTTGCTCATTGTGGTGATGAATTCAGGTGACATTACAATGATCTTTGCTGCTAGCATACAAATCCAAAGATGCTTATGTACATTTTAGTTTTCTCTCCTGCCAGAAGTATTCATATATAAAACCAGGTTGAAAAAAAATACTATAGAACGTTATGGTTGGAAAGAACTGAAAAAAAAAAGAAAAAGAAAACTACTGGTCTTATATTCCCTTATATAAATATAAAAATATATTTTCAGTAGTTAATGTGTTGAAATAACACATCCCAAGTAAAAAATTGTAGTGGTTAATTAACCAAAGTAGACCAGGCCATTATCTCTGAAAACTTCCAGTCCCTCTGAAAGTTGTGCTAAATCTGGAACCTGTAATAATATGTTGTTGATGAAATATTTCCCTTCTTACAGGCTGAACATTTGACTCACATACTCGCCTCCTACTCTATCAGAAACCTGGTGCAAGGATGAAGAAGGTTGTGAATATCAGCAAATAGAATTTACTTGTGCCCAATTTTAAAGAGATCAATGAGTTTGTAACTATCTCACCTATAATTCTCTGTGGTAAAGGAAAGGAGACGAAAGACCGGAGAATTAAAAGTTTTTGGTAATATGATTAAATGCTAGTCATAGTTCAGTGTAGAAAAAGTATACAAATATTATGAATCAGTGCCACTGTATTGTCTTTATTATCTTTCAGTTCACGGTAGTGTATTTTATTTTATCCTTCAGTTTTCCTTCGTTTAATAAACACCACATCAAAACACTTTAGTAGACTGTAAAAAATATTTATAGACTTCTGAGTGCCAACAATATTACTGTAATTATCATAGAAGTGACGTACAGCATTAAAACCATTCTTATTTAAGAATGTTTTATTTAAATAGTGAAAAGCACAATCAAGTAACTGCATAACAAAGCCAAGGGAAGCAAAGAATCCACTTCATTGTGTAGGACAGTTAATTTATCTCCTTTACTCTGTAATCCTGCTTGTCATAAAAAACTGTGAGGGCAAAGCTGTAGCTCAGTAATATAAGGCTTATTAAAAATAAATTTTAACCCCACTTTTAAAGTGGTAAACCACAAATTAATTAGGATGCTGCCAAATGAATTATACTGCTTATGTTTTAGAAGTGCTCACAAAGTTTATGTAGACTGAGTTTTAGGTAACCAGTTTGAAGTAAACATGCAGTTTATTTGCGTAGAAACAGTCCAACTAGAGTAAGATAAGCAATGCAAAAAAGGCCTCTGCTCATTTTCTAAACCAATATTTTTTAAGATAATTTCCTCTGCCATATTAATATATATTATGGGATAGAAATCATCTTAAATGAAATCTCATATTTCTTCTTCTTACATACTCACAAAATTTTTAGAGAAGTAGACAAGTATACATATAGGTTTTTATTTTTTTCCTTTAGATAATTAAATGTTGTCAGTTTTCATTGATAAATGTATATTGGTCTTCAATGTGTCACCTAAATTCTCATGTTATATTTATTTTTATCTCTTGTTGGTGATTAACTACATTATTTAGTTTTACCTATGATTTAAGGAAAGTATTATCCTTTCTTCTAATGGATGATGATTAAAAAAAAATAAAGAAAATAAATAAATTACAAATTTTCTTAAGTTGTTCACTGCCCCTATGTTCTGGAAAGTAAGAAATTGGTTATACTGCAAAATCTAACAAAAAACTACCTTTCATTTTAAACAAAACTTCTGAATTAAATGGTTACCAAACCACGTTACTGAATGCCACATAAAGGACAGAAGCATAAGAACATACAGAAGACTGATGGAAAGAGGAGTTACAGATCTGGCAGCTTATAATGCTGATCTGCAGACCCATGGTCTTAGAAGCAGACCCCTTCTTTGACTCAGAAATGCAACTGGGTAATGCTTAAAACAAGTTTTGAGAGGTTTGACTACTCTGTTCTTCTCCATTTCAGAAGAACCAGGAGGCACAAAGGCATGATAGTTACTTATTTTGAACTGTCCACTTCTGTAAGAGTGGAAAGACACCTAAAAATTTATTTTCACATTATAGGTAAATATTTTCTCTCTTAGTCAATCTAATACATGTTTAGTTAATGATATTTTTAGCAGGCAGAGGCTGTAAATTTTTGGGTAGGATTTAGTTGGTTTTTGGTTCCTCAAAGAAAAAAAAAAAAGAGTTTTATTTGGACATTTATTTCTTCTCAGATCCCATAAGCTGGCACCTTGTTGTAAATCACAGTAAAGCAGAAACATCTCAGAAAAGATTCTACAATTACAGTCGACCTGTTTGATGTTAATGTGCCAGTGCAGAACCCTGAAGGTTAATAGAGGCACCATGCTTCTCAGAAGCATTCCTAATGTCTCATCCCCTGTGAATTCAGTTGTTTATCTCCATGTGATATCAGGGTTCCAATGCATTCAGGTGATGAAAGATGTAACAGATAGGATTGCAATCTGAAGCATGCCTATATGTTTATGTGGCATATTTGCATTTCAGGTTTTATATGAAATTGTGAAATAATTTCTGATCTATTTATGTAGGTATGACAGAACTTTTAAAGAAGAAAGAATTGATTATTCCTGCTGGGCATACTTACTACACAATTTTTCATTAACTTCCTTGGCTGCTAAGAGCCCAAATGTAGATCAAAGGATATTTTTTTGGAATTCAGACATCTCTCCTCTTTTTCTAGTAATTTATAATTAACAGATAAAATTGATAACTTTATTTTCAAGTCTCCCAGCATCCCCAGCTAAACACATGGTTTCAAAACTAAGTATTCTAATTGATAGATCTAAATTTTCCCAGACAACTTGATTTTTCTTTAAGCCACAATCATATGGTGAGTATCTCTTTGCATCAAACTCTTTTTCTCCAGTCTGAAAGCAATAAAATAATTTATGTTCTAATCACTGATTTTTCTGTTTGGGTCAACTGTTAATTTATTCTGTTAGTTACAGAACTTCTAATTAATCTGGAAGATTCTATGACTATTTAGAATGCAGGGTGAGCTAAGTTTCATTTGAAAAAGAAATCTAATTATTTTCTGAAAGTTAAATCTTGAATTTGCAAGTAAAAGATTGTATGAAGAGCTGAAATGGAAGTTCATGCTAAAATATGAACACTGGTTGTGACACGCTGTGGCTACCCTAACTTAAAGAAGACTTGCAAGATTGGAATGCTTTAAAGTTATCAAATAAAAGTCTTAGAGAAGCTAGAAATGCACTGGAGAAGACATTGAGAAGTTCTGGACAAGCAGCAAAGAGAGGTAGATAAAAGATGGGGCTTTAAACTAATATCATGAAAATGCAAGAAACATTTATTAAAAAAGGAGAAAAAAAAACTAGAACAAGTAAAGAAAACTGTGTTACTGGATTTTTTTATGCATCTTGTTAGACACCTGCTGTTAGGTGTGAATTCTTTCTCTTGCGGTTTAAATACTCACCATGATGTTTCATTCCAATAAGTGACTGATTTCTGTGTGGACTTTATGTTACTTTCCTAAGGAAGCAAATCTATTTTCTTAATCCAGCACATAAGTAACATTTATTTTTACTTCTAATAAAGAAATAGGAAACCTATAACAATTTTAAAATACTTAAAAATTAATTGATCTACTTTGGATATTAGGAAAGTATTTTGTCAAGCATATTTGGAGGGTGGAAGAAAAAAGAAATTAACTTTCCTAAGGAATTTTTTACTTGTTTCTAGATAGCAGGTAATTTTAAAATTTGCAGTTCAAATGTCGTAGATGTGTTTGATGCATTTAGAGTAAAATAAAACCCAACTATTTCTAAAATTTTAGAGAGGAATTAGTTGCTTTAATAGCACCAAGTGTCTAGGAGTCTTTTGAATTCAGGTATGGCAAAACTTCATCTAACATTGCTGTCTAAGAGACCATATAAATTTGATTCTATATTTAAGTTAAACTTATTCATCAGTTACTGGGCTTGTCCGTACATATAGTGAAATCATAGGTAAAGTCATTATCTTAAAAAAAACCTTATTTTTTAAATTGCTTTGGACTGTATTTGTTGAGCTCCAGCCAAGATACTGACATAGATCCCACTCAAACAAGAGTTTAAGTCTGTGCTTAAGTCTAAGCACATACCTTTATCTAATTAAAATTCTAGATGGATGCGGCAGACTTCCAACCTTCAGTCTTAATACAGTTGGAACTCACAATTGGATCAGAAGGAATTATGCTTTCAGTAAGAAAAACATCAGTCCTGAGGGATGGGTGTTTGATGTTATCTCAGAAACAAAGGAAAAGGAAAGCTTTGTCCACATTATAAAAATATTTTTACTCATGAAAAAAACCTTTTCTTTGCTATGAGAAAGTCCAATCATGTATTCTGAAATCCTGTCTATATTGTACTCAGCAATCATCAGAATCCATAAACCCCAAAGTTTCATGAAAGTTATATAAATGGATGCCTGTCATTGTCTCTAACATAAATACTTCCAAAGACCAATGAAAAATTTCTCAGAAGTTTCTTTGTTTCTTAGTGATTTCCTTGCATAGTTTTAATTTGTCTTTCAGGGAGTACAGATGTTATTTTTCACACTGAATTCTGATGAATGTATGGTTGACTGAGAGATGCATATTCTGATCTTTTGCAATATTTTTAGATGACTTAGTATTTAGGTTACCCCTACGTGCTAGATCAGTTGTCCTTAATACACCATTTGAAATGAGAGTCTGTCATGAATAGTGCTGAATAGCAAAGCAGACTTCAAGATTTTCTCAGTTCTACTCTGCTCTGATACTGGTATCCATGTAAGCCTGGATAATCCATCTGCTTATTCATCCCTTCCTGTAAAAGGTAAGAGGCAGTATTATTAACAAGGATTGGGTTATAACATTGTTTTACAATATCATACATAAGAATAATTCTCTCTTTCAAATTTAAGCCCTCCAAAGTATTGTATATGCAAAACTGTAAATAAAGAGTTGAGATGATAGCCAGTACTGCTGTATGGATTTGTCCTAAATTCTCATGAGTCTGCCACAACTGGGTACATGTGTTTTATTTCTGTTATAAGAATTATTAAAAGAGGCTTTTGGTCAATAAACAGTAATGTAGTGGTGTCATCCAGCAGAAAACTTAAATGAAATTTTTGCTTACTGCTAGGCAGAAAATACAATTCCTTACAATAAATATCTTAAAACTTTCTCTCTCTGTGTCCTTTTAATGACACTCACCTAATAAAGATAACATCAAGTATTGGTAGCTATTCAGTAGAATAAAAATCCTGGAATGTATTTACTGTAGAAACTAAAAGTCTCATATAAACTTCAATGAACTAATGAGAAGAGAAGAACCTGTTTAGAAGGCTGGGTCAGCATTACAGTTCTAAGAAAACATTCTCTTATTCTGAAATAGTAGAATTTTGGTTCTTGAATGTTGGGGAATCAGCTCCACTTAAATTTAATTTAATTTTTGTAGGTTTTCTGATGGTTCAATGTGGTTTTAAGATTAATAATTTTAAGCCTACAAGGGCATAAATAAAATATGGTTTTTAATGTTTGACATTTTTTCTTGTCAGCAGAAAAACTATCATGATGAAAAGTAAATAAAATGACTGATTTGTTTAAACTAGTTTTTGAACAGTTAATATTGTTTTATCACAAGTAAGAGTATTTATGTATTTCTGTATCTTTTTTTTTCTTTTGCATGAGGTTAAATAACACTGCTAAAGCAGTTTAATATATAAATTCTGATTGGAATCTGGCATTTAGAGGTGGGCTTTCTTTAATGGTTGAAATTTCAATGTTTCACATTTCAAGCTTTAATTTTTCTTTAAGCTTTCCAAATTGAATTATTTGAAAAGTGCTATTAATGCCTAGCAGCAAGTTTAACTCTACCTAATCAAGTACAGACATACAAAAACTTAACTAGGAGATAAAATAAGAACACTTACATTAAGAAAAAATAAAAAATGAAAGTGAAATGAAATAATGGACAAAGATTTAAAGTCACTCTCTGGAAAGGGAAAGGAACAGAGAAACCCAAAAGGTGTTGCCGATCTATAAATAAGCAATTAAATTTATTGGCTATAGCAGAAGAACTTACATGTTCGCTCGTGTGAATACAGGCTACACAATCTGGCCTTCAAAGACTATTTCTGAATAAAGAATTCAGCAACATAAAGCACTACTGTTTTGCAAGATAAAAAGAACTAAACTTTGAATGAACTTAAGGGACTTCTTTTTTTTTTTTTCAAACAGTGGCAGTTTTGTACCAGTTATACATCTAGAAAAAAAAAAAAGAAAGTCAAACATTTTTGGTGATGATCATCATGGAGAGAAAACTTCTTTTATAAAGTATTATTTTTAACAGTTATTTTGAAATCCACCTCCTTCTTGCCCCATCCCATCTTTGACCTTGTCAGTTTTAATAGGTTTAAACTTTTATTCAGCTGTCACATTCTTGCTATCATTTTCCTTACTAAAAAAGTTACCATCTGTCTGAACCAACAATATTTTCATTGTTAAGGCATCTTCTCCCACAACATATGTCTTCAATTTCTAATGTGAATCAGAATTCTTGGAGAATGTTGTCAACGATCATGCAACCAATCTGATTGAATCAGCCTTGACATTTTGCCAATTAAACTGTGCACTTTAAAGAAAATTATAAATAGCACTTACTTTGTTATGAGGTTCAGTATGGCTCACCAGTATAATGAAACATAGAATTTCCTTCATTTTTTTGGAGATTCATGTAATAACAAGAATTTCAGTTTTGTGGTCTAATTATTAAATTACTTTTGTAGTAGTTTACTTCTATGCAGTAGTTTTTTTTTAAAAAAATTGGATACTTTTAGAGGGTTTTTTCAGTATCTAAATTATCAAATTAATTAAATTAATAAAACATATGCTTACATAATTCTGGAAGCATGACATAGTATAAAAAAATGTTCAGGTCATGGAATCTATGACAAATTATAGTGTTGTCTACTTCTTGCACTCTAATTCCTGATTCTAAAGTACTCACAGACTCTTACTACATTCACAGATGTGATAATTTGACATTTTTTCCTCACTAAGAGAATTTCCAAAATATATATTACCATTTTAAACCAAAAACTTTTAAGGACTTGAGAGGAAGTGGAAGAGAATGGAAAGTACAAATGTGGATGGAAAGAATTTTTGATAAGATTTACTTCTGAGAGCATATTATCAGGAAAACTGGTTTCATCTGGAAGAAATTAGGAACCTTTGGAAACTTCAGTATTACTGCCAATATATAACATATTCTGCGCTAGCTTTTTTTCATAGACGTTTGAACAGTTTAATCCTGCAAGATACTGTATGTCTTGTCTCTTCCATATGCAAAGTTTTCCAATAAGGCTAGTCAAACATTTTCCAGCAGAGCTATTCTTCAGTGTAAAATTATGTTTCTACCACACAGATTTCTTCCTAAGAAAAAATCTGCTTTTCAGAATATTTCTTTGGGAGTTTTTGTCCTTAAAAGCTAGATAGTCCAATCTTAATAAATCTCAAATGTCAAAGAAAAGGTAATGTATTACTGCTTAATAACTCGTTTGTTTGTTTGTTTTCCAGTTTTCATGTATAGTTACATCATATGTAACTGTTTATGTGTGTGACATTACATATACATGCCGCACCACATGCAGACATCACATTGTCTGGATGTGCATGCAACGGGATGCCAGATTCAATGTGCTCCCCTTAGTATACAGAAAGAAATATAAAAGGACTTTACTCACACTAAAAACCTGAATTTCTATGTGTGAAGTGTTAATTGTTGGCAAAGGCTAATCCAATCTTCTTCACTCAGAGTGGGAAAGAAGAACTATTGCTCTAGGCAGCTGATAATTTCTCTGTGAAGCCTTCCACAGGATGAACATCAGAACTGAGACAACTGACTTGATGAAGCTATTCTTTAAATCTGAGCTCTGTTCTCCTCCCAGTTTTTAAGCTACTTTGGACAGTTCTGTTACCTATTCTGTGTAGTTCAATAAGGAGTAGGTGGAGCTGCTGATTTTGCATTTAAGAAGGAGCTATTTGCCTGCAAAAAGGGCAAACATCACTGACTATGCAGCAAAGGTTCTATGTACACCCCCTGGGAATGAACCCATATCTTGCAGAATATATGCATATACATTTGCAGTGAGGAAGCCTTGAGTAGGGCCATGGAAAAACACCACAAAATTGTCTTATATTTTCAACAATAAATGCAGTTGTGTTACTGAGTCATAGTTCCTTTCATGAGACAGAGAAGTAGACCTGACCTACCTATCATACAAAGCCTCAGTTTATCTCTAAGCTGTAATTTTCTTACATTACTAAATGCCTAGTACAATGCTCTGGGCATAGAAGTGGCATAGTATTTAATATTAACTGAAAGGTGATTGCAATTCTTCTGCATATACACACAATGATTTTCAATAAATGTAAACAGATAACACTGAAAAGCAAAAGGAAAGAAATTGCAAACATATAGAGAAAAAATTATATAGTTATAGAGCAAAAGATGACAAAGAATAAACTTTTATTTCCCCTTGACAGAGAGAGATTGGTCTTTGATTTCTGTAGCTGGGACATAGAATATCTGTATTTCATGAGAAAGTAAAAGCTTGTGTCCATCACCAATGTACTGAGTATTTGTTAAAGGTCTCATATTTCTAAAATCTGAATCTCATTTATTTTAAGACAGTACTAATTTTAGGAGAACTATCAATCAAGGGCACATTTTTAAAATCCAACAGCAGTTTACATGCGGAAATCTTTATTTCTTGTGTCAGTATTTACTCAAATTGAGATTATCACCAATCATTATTATGTTCTTTCTCGCCTTTTAAAACAGATACTAAAAAAGAAAAAAAAAAAGTACAGCAGATAAGATATTTTATCCCATGGTGAGAATAACAATCAAGATGAGACTTATGTAGAATGAAATTTGCATTCCAGTCAATGTTCATGTGTATAATCAAGTACTGTGTGCAGTTAAATGAGTCTGTTGTCTTGCTATAATGAGTATCTACATCCATCCTAACAGTTAATGAGGAATAAATGACTTATTATCAATGAATGGCAGTATCTAAATAGCTTTGCTACAAAAACAGAATATTAATATGTGTAGCTAAAATAGATCTTAAATGATAATGGACTTATTCAGACTATTAATTATTTTAAAAGCCTCTAGTAAGGTTTACTGCATCTGGGTGGAATTGGAGCTCAGCTGGTTCAAGTGCCCTTATATGTTTGCAGACAGAGTTAACAAGTGACCCTTTAAAATTGCATCTTAGGACTAAATGGGAAAAGAGTTTTTATGAAATGCCTGTGCTGCCATGAAGAATCAGACCAGAGATCTCTCTAGTTCAGCATTTTATTCCCACCAGAAATTAGACCTACTCACTTCAGTGGAAGCAGCAAGAACTGTCTCTATAGCTGACCTTGCATTTTAACTGACTCACCTTCTAATCATCAGCTGAGGGTGAGCCTGTACCCTGAGGCACAAAGGTGATGCCTTTTACTATGTTTTTTAAGAAAACAATGTTTTCTAGCATAATGGAAAGATCTCATTGTCACATGAATGTCAAATTAATTTCTTTAATTTCTAAGCTCTTGGTCTCAGTGATGCCATGTTCAGATCACAAAACTACAACTATTGCAGAAATTTGGCTTGTTCAAATATTTCTGGCAGTGAGCAGATGCAGTGACCTCTTGTCTACATAGACTAACAAATTCTGGATGAAGAATTAATTATAGAATTTCTTTTAATTCTTCTCAGTTTTAGCAAAGTTCTCAGCTGTTATTTATACCTAGGAAGCTATTCCCAGAGCTTGGTTTGAC